GATATTTGCCCTAATATCCTTTTTGGGAACAAACGGGGAGTCATAATGATTCTAGGGCATGTTGGGACTATCACAATGAGAAAACGGAGAGGATTGAAAATTTTCACTTTTTGGCAAAACCAATGAGCTAACCCCTTGCCATTTTTTCGAAAAAGGGGCTGTTTTGGAAATTTCCGATATTTGCCGTAATATCCTTTTTGGGAACAAACAGGGAGTCATTATGATTCTAGGGCATAATGGGACTATCACGATGAATTAACAGAGAGGATTGAAAAATTTTCACTTTTTGGCAATAACGATGAGCTAACCCCTTGCCATTTTGTCAAAAAAGGGGCTGTTTTGGAAATTTCCGATATTTGCCCTAATATCCTTTTTGTGAACAAACGGGAATCATATTGATTCTAAGGGCATGTTGGGACCATCACAATGAGAAAACGGAGAGGATTGAAAATTTTCACTTTTTGGCAAAAATGATGAGCTAACCCCTAGCCATTTTTTCAAAAAAGGGGCTGTTTTGGAAATTTTCCATATTTGCCCTAATATCCTTTTATTGAACAAACGGGAATCATAATGATTCTAAGGGCATGTTGGGACCATCACAATGAGAAAACGGAGCGGATTGAAAATTTTCACTTTTTGGCAAAAACAATGAGCTAACTAACCCCTTGCCATTTTGTCAAAAAAGGGGCTGTTTTGGAAATTTCCGATATTTGCCCTAATATCCTTTTTGGGAACAAACTGGGAGTCATAATGATTCTAGGGCATGTTGAGACTATCACAATGAGAAAACGGAGAGGATTGAAAATTTTCACTTTTTGGCAAAAATGATGAGCTAACCCCTTGCCATTTTGTCAAAAAAGGGGCTGTTTTGGAAATTTCCGATATTTGCCCTATTATCCTTTTTGGGAACAAACGGGGAGTCATAATGATTCTAGGGCATGTTGAGACCATCACAATGAGAAAACGGAGAGGATTGAAAATTTTCACTTTTTGGCAAAATGGATGAGCTAACCCCTTGCCATTTTTTCAAAAAAGGGGCTGTTTTGGAAATTTCCGATATTTGCTCTAATATCCTTTTTGGGAACAAACAGGGAGTCATAATGATTGTAGGGCATGTTGGGACTATCACAATGAGAAAACGGAGAGGATTGAAAATTTTCACTTTTTGGCAAAATCGATGAGCTAACCCCTTGCCATTTTTTCAAAAAAGGGGCTGTTTTGGAAATTTCCGATATTTGCCTTTATATCCTTTTTGGGAACAAACAGGGAGTCATAATGATTGTAGGGCATGTTGGGACTATCACAATGAGAAAACGGAGAGGATTGAAAATTTTCACTTTTTGGCAAAAATGATGAGCTAACCCCTTGCCATTTTGTCAAAAAAGGGGCTGTTTTGGAAATTTCCGATATTTGCCCTATTATCCTTTTTGGGAACAAACAGGGAGTCATAATGATTGTAGGGCATGTTGGGACTATCACAATGAGAAAACGGAGAGGATTGAAAATTTTCACTTTTTGGCAAAATCGATGAGCTAACCCCTTGCCATTTTTTCAAAAAAGGGGCTGTTTTGGAAATTTCCGATATTTGCCGTAATATCCTTTTTGGGAACAAACAGGGAGTCATAATGATTGGAGGGCATGTTGGGACTATCACAATGAGAAAACGGAGAGGATTGAAAAATTTTCACTTTTTGGCAATAACGATGAGCTTACCCCTTGCCATTTTGTCAAAAAAGGGGCTGTTTTGGAAATTTCCGATATTTGCCCTAATATCCTTTTTGGGAACAAACAGGGAGTCATAATGATTGTAGGGCATGTTGAGACTATCACGATGAGAAACGGAGAGGATTGAAAATTTTCACTTTTTGGCAAAATCGATGAGCTAATCCCTTGCCATTTTTTCAAAAAAGGGGCTGTTTTAGAAATTTCCTATATTTGCCGTAATATCCTTTTTGGGAACAAACAGGGAGTCATAATGATTGGAGGGCATGTTGGGACTATCACAATGAGAAAACGGAGAGGATTGAAAATTTTCACTTTTTGGCAAAATCGATGAGCTAACCCCTTGCCATTTTTTCAAAAAAGGGGCTGTTTTGGAAATTTTCCATATTTGCCCTTATATCCTTTTTGTGAACAAACGGGAATCATAATGATTCTAGGACATGTTGGGACTATCACGATGAGAAAACGGAGAGGATTGAAAATTTTCACTTTTTGACAAAAACAATGAGCTTGCCATTTTTTCAAAAAAGGGGCTGTTTTGGAAATTTTCCATATTTGCCCTAATATCCTTTTTGTGAACAAACGGGAATCATAATGATTCTAGGACATGTTGGGACTATCACGATGAGAAAACGGAGAGGATTGAAAATTTTCACTTTTTGACAAAAACAATGAGCTTGCCATTTTTTCAAAAAAGGGGCTGTTTTGGAAATTTTCCATATTTGCCTTTATATCCTTTTTGGGAACAAACGGGGAGTCATAATGATTCTAGGGCATGTTGGGACTATCACAATAAGAAAACAGAGAGAATTGAAAATTTTCAATTTTTGGCAAAAACGATGAGCTCACCCCTTGCCATTTTTTCAAAAAAGGGTCTGTTTTGGAAATTTGCAATATTTGCCCTAATATCCTTTTTAGGAACAAACGGGAATCATAATGATTCTAAGGGCATGTTGGGACTATCACAATGAGAAAACGGAGAGGATAGAAAATTTTCACTTTTTGGCAAAAACGATGCTCATGCTGCAATCATAATTATAAACCTTTAGGTCAGTCAGGAATTCCATGACTTTTACAAGCTGATCGCCCGTCTGATTATAAAGATATATCTGATTGGAAATTGAAATTCATTTTCAATTTTTGCAACTGTTTCGATAACACTACAGCCTACTATGGAAAATGAGTGTAAAGTCCCACACAAAACAAAAGTGGTCTCACATGGTTGAGGACTTGAGCTGCACTATTAGATTTTATTCCAACCACAAAATGGCTGCCAAGATGGCTGACATCCAGTCCATCAAACAATAATAACCAATCACAAGATTGGACAATAAATAGGTAACCAATAGAAAAGCTTGTAAAAGATAGAGTGCCATGTGCCATGTGTGCTGGGTTGAATAGCTAAGAGATAAGGAAGAGTGTGTATGTGTGTGGTGCTATAGCAGGTAATGTGCATGAGGATGAATGAATAGGGACAGAACAATAGAAGCCAAGAGCTAGCAGACAGGAGAGAATGAATGTAGGTCAGGAGTGCGCTAAAGCATATCGGAGTGGAAAACTAAATGTACAGTGTGAAATAAACAAGTAACCACTTTGATCAGTGAAATTAAAACCTTACATAATATACCATCTTCACAGAAAAATGTCCTCATTTTAAAAGATACATCGTATTAACATGCATTTGTTTCCGAAGAAAATGCGTCACATAAAATTTGCTTGAAATACCTGAACGCATCAAATCATGAAGTTTTCCTTCTGTACAATTCTCTCTTTTTTTTCCTTTTTTTTTAAGGAACAGCATCTATTCATATTAAGGAAAATTAAACTGTTTAACTTGAAAGGTCACACATATAGCGAATACAAAAAAATGGTATGCTTTCATCAATGAACATCTTTCAAGCAACGTCCTAACTTCAATGGGTTCTATCCTTTTTCACCCTGAGAATTCCAGTCGGATGATTTGTAGACATAAACATTAAATAATTTCCCTTTTTTCCTGTTTCTGTCACAAATGACAAAATATCAAATACTTCATACCCAATTTGGCAATTTTTAACAAAAACTATAAACAAAATACATGGCAATGTCTTCACCTAAAGAAAAAAATATCACTGTTTCGTGAATCCCTGTTAAAAATTCTTTTAAAATAAGTTAGCCAATTAAACAATGAAATACAATGTACACAGATAATATGCATGCATTCTGACATAACTCTTTCAAAACTGTCTCAGATTTAAGGAGACATTATACAAATACAGTGTCTATGGCCGATAAAATCTCAACTACAAATGATTTATGTAATGAGAAAAAACACATCTTATGAATTCATGTATCAAGAATCTGTTTTAAATCCAAATATCTAAAAACATCAATATAAGTCAAATGACTAAAAATGATGTCCAGAAAATAATGTACCCATGTACATTTACACACATTGACTAATTACATCAATTCTTTTGACACATTTATATAGTCATCGTCGTGAAATAATTCAGGTCAACCCTGTGACCAATACAGTCTGAATCATACATTCTTTTCTTTTCTTTTTATCTTAAAACTCAGCACAATTGTAAAATGTGCAACCAAAATTTGACATCTGAGTCTTTTTTCTGTAAAATAAAAAAATAGGAGCAAAAATGAGTTCACCCAATTGATGTGTAATTAACAAATTTGATGGAAAAACACATGACAAAATGTTTGAAAGTTTGTCTTCTTCTTTTTCCCGTCTAAACATTAAAAACTGACAATTTAATCCTATCTTTACTGACAAGTCCTACAAAAATATCATAAATCTTCCAAAACGTTCAAAAATCAAGAATTCTATCAATAACATATTGTCACAAACAATGGGGCCATGGCGAATGCAAGGTATGACAGCGAAAAGTGAAAATCAGCAAGTCTTTCAATCATCTATCACTATTGCAAACATTAGTTCTCGAAAGTCTTTACAGTTTGTAATCTTGAAACTTGGCGGGTACTTTAACCTGTCGACCAGATCTCGAACGTGCGGATGAGGACGGCTGAGGTTGGGGTTGGTCAGCGGATGAGGACGGCTGATGTTGGGGTTGGTCAGCGGATGAGGACGGCTGATGTTGGCATTGGTCAGCTGATGAGGATGGCTGATGTTGGGGTTGGTCAGCGGATCAGGACGGCTGATGTTGGGGTTGGTCAGCGGATGAGGACGGCTTAGGTTGCTCAGCTGATGAGGATGGCCAAAGTTGGGATTGGTGAGTCGTCGACCTCAGTTGATATTGGGGTCTGAGTTGAAGTTGGCCAACCGGCGAGGACAGCTGATGTTGGGTTTGGGTAGTCGGCAGGGATGGCCTAGGTTGTTGCTGAGGTGGGGCTGAGTCAATTAGCCTGGATTGGTGGCTAGAATTGGTTGGCTGGTTTGATGCTTGTTGCCGAACAGACAAACTTGACCGTGATGTTTGGTCATGGTCTGACTGTCGGTGATGGAGGATGCGTTCTGTTGAACTGGTTTGCTGGTTTGAGGCTTGTTGCCGAACAGACAAACTTGACCGTGATGGTCGGTCATGGTTCGACTGCTCGTGATGGAGGATGCGATCTGGTGGTCGAGATGACCACGTGATGTAGGCTGGTCCATGGCTAGTAGGTTGATTTGACTGCACCTTTCTCCTAGTCTCGTCTTCTGCTGGGGGACCTGGTGGGTACTGTGTCGTTGTCCTCTCAGTCCCATGTATTGACGTAGGCTGTGGGGTTGGTGGGGATGGTGGAGTTGACATCACTTGTGGGGCTCTAGCTCGATGCGGTTTCAAACGATTATGATGGACCCGTCGCTTGAACTTTTCATCATGGACATGAACTATGTCATAATTTAGTCCATCATCTGATGAGGAAGATACTCTGAAAGGACCTTTCCAGTTTGGTTCAAGTTTGTTCCTGATGTTGGTTGGGTCATGTAACCAAACAAAGTCACCTGTGTCATACTTTGAAATGCGTTTCTTCACATCATACTGTTGTTTCTGTTGTTGCTGTTGCTGTCGTGTATTCTGTATGGTGTACTCCCATGCTTTTCTCAATCGCTCAGACAGGTTGGTTGTGTATTCGAGGAGTGTCTTGCCAGATGACGATGGAGGGGGAGTTGAACAGGTGATGTTCGCAGGTGTACGGGCTTCCCTGCCATGCATGATGTAGTATGGCGTCAAACCTGTTGAGGCGTGAGTACTTGTGTTGTACGCTAACTGGACTTGATTGATGTGAGTGTCCCATTCTCCTCCTTGATGAGAAATGTACTTCGCAAGTTGATCTTTGATGGTGCGATTACATCGTTCGACTATGCCAGCTCCTTGGGGATGATAGGGTGTCGATCTAGACTTTTTGATGCCCAATTTGCTGCATAGTTCTTGCACTAATCTGGACTCGAACTGTCGACCTTGGTCGGTGTGCAAAGTCTCTGGAATACCATGTTCTTTCACATATTCTTCGAACAAATGTTTGGCGATGGTTGGAGCAGTCTGATCTTTCATTGGGAAGATATTGACATATTTGCTGAAATGATCAGTCACAACGAGTATATAGCGAAATCCTCGTCTTGAACTTGGAAGCTCAGCAATGTCGGCAAAAACCATCTCCAAAGGGCGAGTAGTGGTAATGGGACGTAAGGGTGCTTGATGCTTAGGGGTTGGTAACCGGAAGGACTCGCAAGCTGTGCATGTGTTGCAGAAATCAGTGATTTCCTTGTTCATGAAGGGCCAATAGCACATTGACTCTGCTCTCTGTATTGTGCGATGAGCGCCGAAATGTCCGGATGATGGGTCACCGTGTAACTCTTGGAGTACCCTTGGAATGAGGGAGTTTGGTACGACAAGTTGGAATGAGAGATTACCAAGCTTGTCTTTCTTCTTCCTGTAGAGTATACCGTCTTGCAGGATGAATTTGGGATACTGCCACAAGAGACGTCTAACTCGGGGGTTGTGTCTACGGATCTGTCGAATGGTTGGCCGCTCACCATTGTTGACGCATTCGATGACTGTACTGATGTCTTGATCTAGTTGCTGTTCATGTTGAACATCTACATCACTGTCAAGGATTACACCACGATAAGGATGAAGGACGTTTGGTGCAGACTGCCTCGTTGAATCATTGGGAGTAGATGCGTCTGTTGATAGTCGTGATCTTGATGAACGAGTCTCGACTGCATTACACAGTGGATTGGTCACCATGTGCTTGAGTAGCTGATCCGTCAATCTTGGAGTGACTTGGCTCTCTTGACTCGGGCGTCTAGATAATGCATCTGCATTTCTGTGTGATTGTCCTTTCTTGTGAATAAGGCTGAACGTGTAGGAATTGAGTTCCAATATCCATCGTGTCCTCTTCCCAGTTGCATCGTCTTGAATTGGGAACTTCCTGAGAGCCAAAAGAGGTTTGTGGTCTGTCAGGATAGTGAAGTGTTGGTGTCTCAGATAATGACGAAAATGGCGAACAGCTGTAACAATTGCCCAGAGCTCTCGATCATAGGTAGACCATTTCTTCTGCGTAGCGCTGAGAGTTTGGCTGAAGTAGGAGATTACACGTTCTTTACCATCTTGAGTCTGTGAGAGGACAGCACCAACTGCATGAAGGGATGCATCCGAAGATAGGATGAACTCCTTTTCAAAGTCTGGATAGGCGAGGAGAGGTGGATTGGTTAGAGCTTCTTTCAGATGTTGAAAAGCATTTTCACACTCTGCTGTCCATACAAACTGTTGACCTTTTTGTGTAAGGGTCGACAAGGGAGTTGCAATCTTAGAGAAACTTGGCACAAAACGTCGGTAGAAAGATGCCAGGCCAAGGAAGGATCGGACATCAGTCGGTGTCCTCGGCTGAGGCCAGGACTTGACTTTCTCAACGTTGTTTGGGTCAGGTTTCACTCCTTCGGTGTTGATTATGTGGCCAAGATACGTAACTTCTTTCTTGAAAAAGCCACACTTTGAGGGTTTGAGTTTGAGTCCAGCGTCTCTGAATCGTTGAAATACTTCTTGGAGGTTCTTGCAATGATCATCGAAGTCCTTGCCCATGACTATGCAGTCATCAAGGTATACAAGGCATGTAGACCAGTGGAGGCCATGTAGAACGGCTTCCATGAGACGCTGAAATGTCATGGGAGCGTTGACCAGTCCGAATGGCATGACAGTGAACTGGTAAAGCCCTGTGCCTGTGGTAAAAGCAGTCTTCTCTGTATCTTGGGGATCGAGCTTGACCTGCCAATATCCACTTGATAAGTCCATGACGCTGAAATATGCTGATGAAGAAAGGGAGTCAATTGAATCATCTTGCCGTGGAATAGGGTGAGAATCTCTAACAGTTACTGCATTGAGTTTTCTGTAATCCACGCAAAATCTGTATGTGTTGTCCTTCTTCTTCACCATGACGATTGGGCTCGCCCATGGGCTGAAGCTCTCTTCAATGATGCCTCTTTGCAGAAGTTCGTCCACTTGCTCCTGAATTTCCACTCTCATTGCTGGTGAAGTTCGATACGCCCTCTGTCGTATTGGAGTAGCTGTGGTGGTGTCAATGTGGTGATGAATAATGTCGGTCTGACCAATATCCTGAGACGTCGTGCTGAAAATATCACTGTAGGTTTGAAGAAGATGTTCAGCTTTCTCGTACTCTGTCCTCGTGAGTTCTGAAGAAGGGAGAACACCAGCAACTGGTGACTTGTCTGTCACTTGTGGATCAGCGTCAGTAGTTACGCTCATGATCTTGTATTCCTCTTCGGTATCCCCAGTAATGGAGAAGAATTGACCAAGGCAGGTGTCTGCAGGTAGATCGACTGCTTCGTCAGAGGGATTAATGAGGCGTACTAGAATAAGACCATCTTGAGGCTTGAACAGAGATCTGGCACCGATAACAGGAATGTGATCTTGCAATGTAGGTTCAAAGTAGCCATCATAGTCTCTTGGTACGATGTCGAACTGTGGCGACGACAATCTTCCCTGGACGTGAGTTTCGCAGCTTGGGGGAATCCGAGCTTGTCCAACAAGAGAAACTTTACATTTCAGCGGGGCTTGGTATTGCTGACGATCGATGAAGGGAATAACACTTCCAGGCATGTTGAACGATGTTGGCGATATGCAGGCATTCTGGCTGTCAATAAAGTCCCATCCAAGGACAACTGAATGAGTGATGTTGCGTGCAACAACGAACTTGTGTTGTGTAGCCTTGTTCCCTAAGTGCAGAGATGGTACGATTGTTCCAATGTTGTCTACCAGCCCACCTGTGATAGTAGATGCCATGGATGTCAACTTTTCCAACGGGCTCCTTTGCGATGCTGGAATGGATGACAAAAACTTGGCACTCAACAGAGATATGAATGATCCACTATCTACGAGTGCCAATACATAGACATTGTCGATAACGATAGGGATGTAGGGTGATTTCTTTGGCGAAATAGGTGCTATTCGTATTGGGACCTTGGTTTGTGTAGTTGATGAATGGCCCTCTTCCTCAACTACCAGAAGTTTCCCTGCTGCTGGTCTTCAAATCGAACTTGACGATAGGGAGCCTGTCTATGGGAGTCAACTTGATAACCTGCAGTGGAAGGATGCTGCTGATTTCGGCTGCTAGACGATTCATAGGGCCGTCTAGAGGGTGAAGTCCTAGATTGATATGCGTAGCTCCGATTAGGGCTTGGAGATATGCGTCTTGCATATTCAGGAGATCTGCGTCCTGCATATTCTGGAGATCTCCGTCTTGCATATTCCGGAGATCTGTGTCTTGAATATTCTGGAGATCGGTGTCTTGCATATTCTGGAGATCTCTGTGTTGCATATTCTGGCGACCTGTGTCTTCGGTAGTCACGGCTTGGTGACGGAGACCCACGACGTTCCATGTGTCTTCCCTCATGGGAGCGTCCTGATGGGCTGCCACCACGTTGCTGAGATCTGCTAGGCCTTTCAACTGTCTCTAACTTTAAGGACATCCTATCCAGCTTCTTTTCTAACTCGTTGAGTCTTGGCAGTAGTAGTCGTAAGACTGATGATTCTGCAGGCGTCTTGTCCTGGACCCGATCATCTACAGCTGCTACTATACCAAAATCGTGTGCTTGGTGTGCTCTTTCTACACGAAGTGCGATCTTCAAGGCCTCGTCAAAATCAAAGCCTCCGAGCTCGTGAATCTTAACTTGAAGCGGTTTGTCTACCCCGGCAACAAATCGTCGAAATCTCTCACCACCTTTTGCATTGTCATCATAAGATGGGAAAGCCTCTTCTACTAAGGAAGCAATGGCTGATGCAAACACTTCTAAAGGCTCACCTGGTTGGCGAGTTCGGGCAGTAATACAAGACTTGAATGTGTCAATAAACTGTGTCTGGCCGAAAACCTGAGAGAGTTTCTCTTTCATCTTCTTGAAATCTTTCTTGTCCGAAGCAGACAAGCTCTCCCACACGATGAAGGCTGATCCTGCTAGTCTTGCAGGAAGGAGGGTGGTTAAGTTGATAGAAGTGTCCGAAAACGCCTGTGCAGCAACTTCAAATCGACGTATCCATTGACGGAAGTCTGTGCCGTTCTCTCCCGTAAACACTTCTGGCAATTCCATGCGATAAGATGCCATACTGTAGGAGTTATAAGCAATCGACTCAACAGATATGATCATCAACAAGATATCAACCCAGTAAAACTTACTGAATGAGTCAATGTGAAGGAGGGGGGGGGGGGGTCACTCTGAGTGCAGATGAAGAAAATGCAAACTCAACAGTTGAAATATCTGTGGCGAGCGGCTATGATGGAAGGAGGGTGTATTCTGCAACTGATTATGTTGCTACGCCAACACTATGTAGAATATGCAGGTTGATATGGCAGAATGCTGTAATGTACGGCAGCCAAAGGCAGACTACGGTATACATGCAGACTGAATGTGATAAGTTGCTTGAAAAATACAGAACTGTATGAAGGGTGAAGAAAAAAAACCTCAGTCACCGATGAAGGATGAATGCAGGAATATTCACCAAAATACAGCTCCAGTATGAAGAAGGGTAAAGGAAATCTCACTTACTGATGCAGGATGAATGTAGGAATTACTGATGTAGGAAGAAATCAAGGCTCAAAAAGTCAAGATGAAACCTCAGTAATTAATGAAGGAGGTTGAATACACACAAACACTAGCTGCCTCAGCTTAAAATGAAGGGAGGTCAATCAGTGAGAAGAAGGGTGATATCATGCTCTCAAACATTCACATTCATATACAGATGGAGGGAGAATTTCACTTTGCAACTCACCACTAAAAACACTGCAAGAATTTCTACATATGAAGGAAGGCTGCAATTACAGTTTAGTGCAGAAAAACCACTGCTGGCACCAGTTGTAAAGTCCCACACAAAACAAAAGTGGTCTCACATGGTTGAGGACTTGAGCTGCACTATTAGATTTTATTCCAACCACAAAATGGCTGCCAAGATGGCTGACATCCAGTCCATCAAACAATAATAACCAATCACAAGATTGGACAATAAATAGGTAACCAATAGAAAAGCTTGTAAAAGATAGAGTGCCATGTGCCATGTGTGCTGGGTTGAATAGCTAAGAGATAAGGAAGAGTGTGTATGTGTGTGGTGCTATAGCAGGTAATGTGCATGAGGATGAATGAATAGGGACAGAACAATAGAAGCCAAGAGCTAGCAGACAGGAGAGAATGAATGTAGGTCAGGAGTGCGCTAAAGCATATCGGAGTGGAAAACTAAATGTACAGTGTGAAATAATCAAGTAACCACTTTGATCAGTGAAATTAAAACCTTACATGAGTATGGTAAAACCAGTCCCTCAAAGACCTTCTGCTACCAGCATTTGTTAATCTCTTGAAAAGTGATGGTACACCTTGCATGAAGTAGCATAGGTTCCTTTACATGCATGTAGCTTTTACCATAATTGTACCAGTGGAAATATTCAAGTTTGCATAACGGTACACAATAAAAAGCATGTCGTGTGCACTAAAAGATAATACAGCTCCATAGTGCAAGACATTTATAAAGCAGTTCCTATGGCTGCAACTTAAAGGCCCACTGCACTACTGGTAGCTACTTGCGCCCTCTATATTACAAACAATGCCTAATCGGTGACCATTGGTCCCCCATGATCCTCTTTTTCTTATGTTAACTGAGAGCTGAGTTGATGAGATAACCACCTGTCCAGTGACCTTGCAGGCCGGTGTAATCCCTCCTGTAAATTACGCAGATAAGCTTTAACTAATGCTATCACATTTTCTATTCTTAAGTCATAAAACTACATGAGAAATTTGGGGGGTTCTTTTGCAGTCAACCCATTCCTAAAGAGTTTGCATAAGGAAAATCCTTTCATAATGCAAAAATTTTCTCAGGGTTCTACCAAAGTCAAAGTTTCTGAACTTGTTGATGCAAGTGTCATAAATACAGATATCTTCAGCAGATATTGGTATATATTGTCCTGAAATATGTTAAAGCAAGCTGAGTTAAAGCTTGCACTAAGTCAAGAATAACACAATAATTTAGATTTGCAAAGCTCCTTTGAAAAACTAGACTTTAAATTCAACTTAAAATATTTGGACATTCTGTTTTATCTGTATAGGCCTTAGTAAATTATCAGGCCAAGCCTATATCCCAGTCACAGCGACAAAACTGACACTGAACATTAAATTTATCAGGAGTTGATGCATGCCAAACTCTCCCTGAGCAGAGCAGGGCCGTCATCAGACCATTGGAAATGGGGAGTAGTATCCCATTTGCTGACAAGGAAAATGACAGCTGTTGGATGTTCAAATTTGGTGACTGATGTTAAGATTCGTCACAATTAAAAAAAAAAAAATGTGAAGAAAAGGACCATCAGTTATTGAGATTTGCAGATGTACATGTACCTGCCCTGGAGTAGTCCCAAAAAAGGCTTTGTACTGATCTCTGATAAGCCCCATAAATGACAAAATGTGTCCGGTGATTCCTATGAAAGACCTTTAAAGCTCGTCTGCACTAGTTTGGCCTGGGGGGGGGGGGGATTAGACCTCCCTGCAAGGTCACTGACAGGTGGTTATCTCATCAAATCAGCTCTTAATTAACAAAAGAAAAAGGGGATCATGGGGGACTAACAGGCATAACAGGCACGAATAAGGCATCGTTTGCTATATAGAGGGCGCAAGAGGCTTAAAGAAGTACAGTGGGGCTTTAATAGGAATATGTTAAAAATATTATTCCCTAACAAATCCTGGAACTGACTGGAGACCACCGAAGGGGCCAATAACACAGACAGTAAATCAATATGACCCAGAGTAGACCTCGATTATCGAGCAGTTTGGGATCGATCCGCATCGGTTCAGCAGTGTGAACGGGGTATACAACCTTATCGTCTCACCTTGGAACATCCTGGTGTGAAAGCCCCCGGCACAGCAAACAGCACCCCAGTCTTTCCCTTGAAGAGCTCTGCAACATTCACTTTATCTCCCGGCGTACTCTCACACACCTCTACGCTCGGTACGGGGTCCCCGGCCTGAAAGTTTAAAACAATGGAAACACAGTCACATTTCTTTCTTCTCTGATTGGATATTTCACCTCCATCATCATTGGTTCTTGACGCATAATAATACCAATATTTCTGTTTGCTGTTTGATTTCTTCAGCATTCGCGGCTTCCTGTACTGTAAATTCCTTCCAACTTCACACAATAGGCCATTTTTGTAATGTAATCAAATTTATGCATGTGCCTTTGTGAAGCGCCTCAATACAAATTATTTCATTCACCTGTTACAAATGGTCAAGATTCAAATTGCATACATTAGTTGGCTTTGGGTAGGACAAACAACTATGACTTGCCCTACCTAACGAACACTTAATATATGCAATTTGCATTCTATTGAAATACATTATTGAGGCACTGAAGTATGAATTTGGTTACCTTACAAAACGGGCCTATATTAAAAAGCCAGAAGCCTGTGCCAAATTATTCACCCCAGCCAAAAGAAATTGTTAGGATTTTTTCAACACAACCATTGAGCAATGTCACCTGTTTAACTATATATGCGAGGAGCTTGCCAGGTATGCAAGCAATTGTTATTTCTATGCTGAAATTCTGTAACCATTCTCGTGTTTAAATATTTTGCATGATCCTCTGTTAACTATTATGTCCTCTACATACCTAGGTGAAAATGTTCAATGGGTGTGTTTTACACAATCCTTTCAATATTGTTTGGCTACTTTTGATAAAGCAATGCAGTTTTTACATCTTTATAACTTCTAAATGAAAGGATCACTTGACACAAAAGTTGCACTACAAAAACTTACAATACCCAACATTGCACCTTCAAATCTGAACTGAATTCTTCTTCTTCTTCTTCAGTTGCAGTACAGGCCACCGTCAGGTGTATACTTGTCATACTGTTGGATTGTATTGCATTATATCATCAAGTTTAGTTGTCCTTAAAGTCAACTATAAATCAAGATTTGTGTTCAATAATTACATTAGTTTGATAGATCTACCTGCCCGACGTCTGTGACAGGAGGGTAGCTCTATCAAACTGTAGTGTTAGCTTGCTTAGGGACCCTTTCATTTTGTCCAAACAAATTCAAATGGGCATAGAAAATTACCTGAGATTATGGATTATTGATAATTTGTTGGTCATAATTTTTGTCCACAAGGCAACTCCCTTGAAAACATTATATAAAGGGCATATAGCTCAAGGTCCCCCATAATACCGGTACTTATGCAGTGTTAAGAATTCGATTGAGATTGGAGAAATCAGATTATTTAACAGGAGAAGAGTAGAGCCTATACAAAAGTAGTTTCAGCATGAACCAGGATTGGCATTCTAATGATGAGCAGAAAAACAAAAAAGTATACAACCCTATTAAATAGTTTTAGACTTTCAGCAGGATAAGGATAAGGTTTACAATAATTATTGAATAAGAAACTTAACTGTACAGTGTTATGTTCCTGTATTAACCAGCCAAACAATTACACAATGATCATGATGAAGTGAGACAGATTGGTTTACCTTTTAGATTTAGATAGGATTATCAGATTAGGCTGGTATAATCCTATCTAGAGGCCTAATTTAAGTACTTGTACGTTGTAACAGTTAACTGTTAACTGACAGGAAGGCCTACACTGTACGTCCCACACATTGCCACACTCACAGTGATACAAAAAATGTATAAACACAAGATTTTTTTAAAATAAATTCCCAAGATGGTCCTCAAATTTAAAAACCAACACAATGGCAACAGAAACAGAAAGCAAGCTCTGACTCTGTCACGAAAAACATTCGACGACAAGTTAAATCTAAATCTACATACCTTGATGGGCATGTTTCTCGTTGAACCTGATGAAAAACTCCTAGAGCAAGTGACAAATGCAGCTCTTCGTAGGCTGTTGAACATGATTTATGTTCACAAAAAGACCGGTGTGTTCGATCGTGTATGAGCTGTCGCCGCACTCTGCACATTAGTATGGCGGAAAGAGTTAGCGCTCGCGTGGTACCATGCTGATACCCTAGTACCTTGCAGGGGTTAAATCATTTGTATTACGTCTATGGTTAAATTAACTCGGACAGTTTCATTCAAGTAATAGGTGTGCTGCCTGAATTAATTAATATTTTTGTTAATAGAAATATGCTAGTATCGATAGTTATAACAAAGCACTGTATTAACTGAATAGTTTTATATTTTAGAAATTAGATGCTATGAAAGAATTTATCGTAATTGATGTGTCTTGATTGCGTAATAATAATATAACCCCCTTACAAAAAATGGTAAATCCAGGTGACGCCTGGGAAATACCCTAATTCGATAATTCGATGACGTAGTTGACATTGACCTCGGCCTCGATCGTGTGTGTTTAATTGTGTTTTTTTTTTTTGACAGACGTTTATCAATCAGATATGATGATTTACGTCTGGGGACCGACCTTTAATGTCACCATCCGAAAGATGTAAAAATGTCGTTCTTTTAAATTCATCATTTAACTTTTCCACTAAAAATTTGTAGATGAACCTGAAAAAGAAGAATCCGGTTATTATGTTGTTTTATTTTAGTAAATGTAAGTGTTATTATATAAATCAAGATATCCATAGCCGCACTCAGAATTAAAACTCTTTTCCCCCTTCTTTTAGAAGAAAGGCTTTTATTGTTCTTGCCATGTAGAAAACCAAGAGGAGAAAAAAGGCAAATAAAGAAACAGGAGAAAAAGAGGGGGTTTTAAAGAGACATGAAGAAATATCAATATCAAAGGAGAATAACAATAATAATAGGAAAGAGGGTTTTTGATCGAGAATTAAGGGAAGATAAATATTACTATTCTGATCAACACATTATCAGGCCTACATGTAGAACTAATGTTAATAATTTTCATCTGAGGAATTATATATGTGTGATACTTCTATTTTGTCACAAATTGTTTTCTTATCAGCAATGTCCATTATATGTTCTGTATATAGATTTATTACATAGAATTATTGTCTTTTTAACATTTTAGTAAAGTGAAATAACTTGAATTGCTGCAATCAAATTAATGCCCAATACTATTGACTGGAAATCTATAGTCTCAAACAAAGATGTTGTTTAATACATGGATACGACTGCACCCAAAGTTAAAAACAAATTAAACATTGATACGACGTATAAAATTGTCTCACTTTATTTCATTATCATTTATTTTGATATTAATTTGCTACATATGATAGTGCAGCAAACATATGCCATCTCCATATTCTTAACACTAGAACATGTCGTCATAGAGAGAAAATGATATGAACAGAATACATTATTCATCAAAATAAAATTTGTATATGATTGCATGCTGATATCGTTTACATGTACATGTATCTGGAATCATCATATATTCATGATAAAGAATCTCAAAACTTTGAAAAGATGAATAAAAATCTATAACTGGCAATCATAATCTATAATTGTATCAATTGCTTCATGCTAATTTACTCTTTCTATTTATTTGATATATATGCTGCTAAATTACAAAACGCTTTGATGGAACTTATAGGTAATAAGGCACACTTTATACATATATCTTGGATATACATCTAAGCAAACGTAAACCACAAAAACACTTTTAACTTCTTGAATACAATTGTGAATTTTGAAATATTTCCTTTCATTAGTCTTAAGTATGAATGTCATGTCAGAGTCCATATGCATGACATGTATGTAAGATATTTATGAAATTAGATGAACAATTTCACTTCTATACCTGCATTTGAATGATAATTTAACTACATGTACCGGTATGTCACCTTATATACTTCAATTATTCCAGGGCCTTTGACCTTGTCATTAAGATTAAAACTTAAAATAAAATCTTTTCAAGGAAAATAATCCAATGATATTTGTTTAATCAGTGTTAGGAGAATGACAAAAGAACAGAAGTATTTACTTATCTTTATCAAGCATTGTCATGGTATTCAGGAGCAAAACATGGACGGTACATTAATTAACAGACAGAGAGAAAACCTCTTAACATTACAAATCATGCTAATATCATGTTCTTTATATATTTTTTCTTCTAGTTCTATAACTAAACACTTCAACTTACGTAAACAAGTAAAATCTATATCATATATTAAACTACTGATATATAGCCTAGAAATGGCAAAATCTATAAATTTAATTTTATACACAACTTGGTTGTATTATTAAACATACAGAATTTAAAAGTCCACATAACAAGACATTATCTTATGTATTATGAAATAAAATACAGGATAAAATTAAGAATATAAACAGAATTGGGAATGTTGCCTCAAGAGGACAAATCTTTTTCTACCCCTTTTTATTGGCATTTGCTAAGAAGGACAGGATAAGGAACAGTTTACAATATACAAAATAATTGTACCATTTAGAATCATCCACTAATAATTCAACATGAACAATGAGTTCTTAATATTTCAAATTTGAATAAGCCATGTGTGGCTAACACGGCTCCGTTATATTAAAGAATCCTTTTCTCACTGATAAACATGTACATTTTTGCAAATAAAAATAGTTTGCCATGTGTCCTTGTTCATTAAATATAGATAAAGAAGTCACAAATTAAAACAATTAATTTGAAATTATTCAGGCAAAATCTTGATAACTTGATCTTGCCGTTTCATGATTGACTGCAATATGCAAGTTAATAGCTAGCATATTAAATTTTGCATCATAAACAACATCAGGCATAATAATAGGGTCATATCTTTTAGACTTCATAGTTCTCATGATTCGTAGGCTTCTTTGTGTAACAATTATCATCACAATACAAGCAGCTTTGTGTTCACCTACTATTTAATACTTTATTTTTTTTTATGCATGGCAAGTTATATATCTTCATCATAAAATATTTTTCTGAGTACATTTAAGTTCATATTTTCGCTGAGTATAATGCATGATAACCATTATCATATAAAGTACTGAAATTCTGACAAATATGTCAAAATCAATAAAAAATACTCTTTTTAACGAAAAAGTATAAAACCAAAATATATTTTTCATACGAAATTAAAAACTCTTGCAAGTCTCAAAGTTGTTCAAATTCTAAAACTTGTACTGTCTTGGCAGTAATTCATAGTTGCATCATATACATGAATATATTGTATAACACCTTACATGCTCTGAATTGTAATCACTTGCCTGAAATCTGTTTGGTGTTATACAATTCCATTGCCTTAAATCACCTCAATAACTACACAACCAAAATTACACAGATGTCCAATATTGACATTCCCTGTTAAAACAATACTGAATTTGCAAATATATTGATCTCATCAATACTTGATCGATAATTCTTTAACTTTTGCTTTTGACATCGTAAACCATGTCTTACTGCATCAACTCTCTGCTATCTATCTACTTCAATAATTATCTAAGACCCAACACACACTTCAACATTTTCAATGTCCAATTAATATCACATTAAGAGGAAAAATTGGAAGCCCACAATGTCTTTATACAAAAATATTAAAAATTCCTCTCTTTAAGCCAACAGGGTTCATTCTAAAGAGCCTTTCTCAATAATTAATCTATTTCTATATTGTATATGCTTTTTACATATGATGAAGTGAATGGTATCTGTTCCCTTACGCAATGGCCTCAAACTTAATTCAAGCTGCGATGAAGTCATTCCCATTTTTGAACAGCCGGCATCTAGTGCTAGGGATAAATATAGCGATGATTTTCCCTTATTGTCCTGGTTTAAGGTCACTAGGTACATGTATCTACTATTGAGAGCGTTCACAAACTATACCTTTGTTTAGCGTATGCATATTTGTCCAACATCTAACCAAGATGAACAGATTTTAAATGCACAAAGATTCATTATAGTGATTACGGGGTCCGTCTTTCTATCTTGTTATAATCAACTGGTCACAAAACACATGAACCGGCAAAAACTGCTTTGCGGTTAATATCCTTACGCTAACCATCTTCCTAACTTAACCCTAGTACCAAACAATATACCAATATCTAGCACTCGACCTAACCGCAGACCCAATGGCAACCCTAACCATATCCCCACATCTCAGATGAAATAATTGTCGGTGCCGGAGAAATCAACACCAACTGCACCTTTGTTTAGAAAATGCATATTGTCCAATTTTCAGTCAAGAATTGAAGATTATCATTGAAAAAAGATTTATTATGGTGTTTACAGGGTCTATCTTTCTATCTCGATTTATACTTAACTACTGCTCATAATCTGAGCACCACAGCTTCCACGAGGGATCCCTTGGGAATCATTTTCTGCTGGTCGCTCTGCGATGGCAGCGCCAGAAGGGCGTTGGCCTGAAGCATGCTGATCAGACGACTGCTGATCTGGTTGCCTGTCGTCGAGGCCAGGGGCACGCCGTCTTCCGCGGACTGCCAATCCAGATGCGCCCTCTGGAACTCAGGTCGGGGGTCAAGCTTTAGGTCAGCCATTACCTGAAAGAACAAGTGAAAGACAATGAGATTGGTTTTTTATACAAATATTAACTGGCATACCGGTATCTCACAGAGTTATTGAAGCAGACAATCCATCAATCCACGAGTGATAAGGGGAACGAAGCTGTGTTACATCTGCGGTAACAATTACAGGGTGGAAGATAGTGTTCTATGACAACTTTCATTAAATTATAGTTTTACTTTATGGGTAAAAAAAAGATGGTAACATTCCTGGTAAATTTTAGAAGAATACTTTATTTTTCCACATCAATGTGTGAAAATCATAAAAATCTGAAGTTCATGTGTCAATTTTAGCATTAAAGGTAATACAAAGTTTTGGTATGGGGTCATGAATTTGGTTCAAATGAACATATTGGAAGCATATACAATCCTACAATATTCAGTGATCGTTGTCGCAGTCGAAATCGACTCTAAAGTTATGAAATTGTAAATAATAAACACTTTATGTTGAATAGCTCCCTCTCAAGGTCAAGATATTAATTAAGCTATAAAACAATGTTTATTGACTATAATTGACTGATTAGCTATTCTTGTTCGGAAATTATATACCACAACTACATACTCTGAGATTTTCATGGTCGCAGCTACCATTGTACGGCCGTAGGAGCTATTTGAAATTTATCAAAATTTACCGGGAGCACCGGTAAATCTTTATATTCAATTTTTCTCAAAAGCAGAAGTGTTTTAGGGGCTAAAATTTCTGGTGTTTTTAATACATCCACAGGGACATCCAAATATATTACAATTGTAAAGAATCACTATACACCCATTTTTCAAAATTTCCCAAAACTTTGTAATACCTTTAAATGTCCTTATTTAAAATGAGATCTTTATGAACTATTTGAAAATTCTACAGCAATGGGAAACAATGTACATTTCCAACATTCTTGTTAAACAATCAAGACATTGTAACTGACAAAGATGCTTTATTTGAGATCATGGGGAAGATGTTATTCTTAATATTAAGAGTCCCTAAGAGGATAAGCTAAAAGCATTATATTCCTTCATGTGGGTTAAATATATGCTTAGAGACTTACGCGGCATTTGATTCTCTTGAGATGAGGGTTGGTGTATCCCATCATCCTCCTCAGGCACGGTAAGACAAAGTGATTAAATGTCACGATACCTGATACAGGATTACCTGCATGGAAAGAGACATTAAACAGTAATATCTTTCCAAAAATGAACACATTTTTAGTCATTATTTTGGTAAGAAGGTGTGAAATCAAATTTGAAGTCTGTTTTTAAACCTCTCACTTGGGCACATACCAAATAATGAACAAAGATTTGTTCATGTTGAAAAGATATATTGTTATTATTTGAATTGATGTGTGAAGGGCCGATCAAATTATATAGATATCCACATCCCTACAAGAATTGTATATCAAATTAAATGAAATATGACAATTTAAGTATTGATTTGAAGAATGGCATAAATTAATCATACATACATACAAATCAAATTGATCATACAGGACTGGATTTTTTCACTACCAAAGAATTATTTTATTCAAATGTTCTAAGCTTTGCTAAGCATCTTTATTTCTTATAATAATAGGATGAAATTAAAGTCAGTCTGGCATAACAATTCTTTTTTAGATTTTCTCTTTCATTCTCAATTACAACAGCCTGGTTTATTCTAGTGAAAGTAATAATGTTAATAAAACATGTTGCTTTTCACTTTCATTTTCTTTAGATTTATGATTAGTCTTGATTTAATAACAGCGATAAGAAAGAGTTTGGTTGTATTAACTTCTTGATCTATCAAATCTGACTTCAAAAACACCAACTGCTACAAGTTGTAATGAGATCCCAAAGTCACACACACTGAAGTAAGTCTTACCTGGGAGCGAGAAGAAGAGCTTCTTGGCACCCTCATATTCAAATGTGCAGAAGGTTGTAGGTTTCCTTCAGAGATTAATTAAAAGATAGAAACATTACAATAACATTAGTTTACACAAAAGCAGTCGGGTACATTTTGTTTAATTACCAAGGTCCAGCATCAAACAACTTTGAAATATAAGATTAAGGACAAATGACAGTGGTCATAATGTTGGAGCGCCAGGAGCTTCACAACGTGACGGACATGTGTGCATTGTAAGAAGCCACCATTATTATTATTATCATTAATATAAATGAATGCAGCTGAATTCATTTAATCAAAAGCTCCAAGGGTTGTGTGTACAAAAGATCCTCAAACAAACAATTACCATCTGTGGGGTCTCATACTTTTTATTATTATTTTTTAAATTATTTTATTTGGCAGATAACACATGATACAAAAAACAAAAATATAAATAATTAATTAATAGCAAATTACACAAAAATTCATGAACACTGGGTGCACCCGGCTGTACTGCCAGGCCTTGGGCAAATGTAACCAAATAACTATAGTCCGCAGACCGTCCTCACCTATACCAACCAGATGCATACCTTCTTTCATAAGAACATTGTCCAAAGTATTTACTTAAACAATTATAATAATAAAGAACGATTTTCTTGTCTCCTGTGAGCTGTCTTTATATACAGGTTTCAATGTATATACAAAAATACAAAAAATACTAGGATTTTTAATTCTCAGTTCATGGCCCCACTTTGGCTTAAATGCGGACCGTATTAAATCTTACCCCGGCTTGATGAATATCCGTCCAAAGTGAAGCGTAGCCTTGAGTTCTTCAGAGAGGACATACTTGAGAAGATCTTTTTCTCCCATGGACACTCCTCCAGTGGTAACGATCACGTCAGACTGAGAGGCAGCCTTCAGGAGAACATCCTTGGTTGCTTGGACGCTGGAATGTCAGGGACAGGAATGATGAAACACATTCAGAACAAATGGTCCAGAATAAAAATGTATGGGCTCTCTAGTCTGAGAGACTAATGCAGTCAAATCTACTGTTATGGTAACAAAAAGCATATGAATACTTAGCTATAAAGACCTTTGTACATAACAGACAGTATCAGGTGCAATGCTTACATCCAATGGACCAGTATTTACATCCATCTCTAGGGGGGGGGGGGGGTGTTTCACAAAGATCCCAAGTCGAACTTAACTCTAAGTTGGACTTAATAATTATGGAGAGCCATTTGTAGCCTTAGAATAAAATATATTCAAAAGCGAAAATTCCAGTATTTTAGACTTTTTATAAATTGCACATCAAGAACATGAACTCTCCTTGATAAGAGAAAATATGAATGATTTGAATCGACATTTAATGCCTCTTAAAATAACTTTTACAAAATATTTTCATAGATGCTAACGGCTTTCCATAATTTTTAAGTCAAACTTAGAGATAAGTTCAACTTATGATCTTTGTGAAAAACCCCCCAGCAGTGAGAGTAGCATCTTGATTTGATCCCTTTTACTTGTACACTCTTCCTTCACTTCATGGTCTTATTCTTTCACACTTTCACATCCCACGAGTGAGACCAGTGGCCCCAATAATGGTAGATCCGTTACTACCCCACTCTACAGTAGTACTCACGTATCTGTGCAATTCCTTCATCGACTGTAAACATAGTCATCTCTAGCATAGCAGAGTAGTTAATAAGCATGGTGATCCTATCACTACTACACCCTCCCCTTGTTTGACGGTCCCATTCTTCTTGCTTTTAATCAAATTTCTACGACTAAAGCCCACCACCTAAATGGTTAAACCCACACTCGTAGTCGAGTGGTTAATGCACTTGACTTGAAATTCAAAAGGTCATGGTACGATCCCCGTCACGGCACTTATGTCCCCTGGCAAGGCATTTATCGACATTTGCCACACTCGACCCATGTGAGGTTAATGGGTACCTGGCAGGAATTTCTTCCTTGCGAAGGTAGAGCACTGTAATGGCAGCTACGCTAAAGTCGGGGTAATAATTAATTTGTGTGCCTTGGAATTGAACTGTCTAGATAGACGGCGCTATATAAATGCCTATTATTATTATTATTATTAGTATTATTATTAAACCCACACCATGCTAAAGAGTTCATATGAATACTCACGTATCAGGTGTAATTCCTACATCTACAGTAGGTACATTCATCTCTAGCAGGGTAGCCAGCATTGTGATTCTGTTACTGTCATAGATGTGACCTGGAGGAAGCTCCTCTGAAGGCTCTGTCAACTGTACAATCAAGAGGTACAAATAAGTACATTCAATATACATTCACTCAAAATGATATTATGCTCAAATTTCACTCATGCACATTTAATGCAAAGCAATAGTGATAGAGGCTTGAATGTAGCAGAGCATGACTGATGCATTCCCTAGCATCATTAAGCAATTTAGTAAGCATTGTGATCCTATTACTATCATACTCAAATTACATTCAAGATACATTCACTCAAAGTTACATTGCCCACACATTTAATACAAAGTAATATGGGTATGAATGTAACAGGGCATGACTGATGCATACCGTAGCAAGCGTAGTCTGCATAATGATCCTATTACTATCATAGTTGTGACTGGGAGGAGGTTTCTATGATGGCTCTGTAAACTATTCGGTTATGATATATAAAGGCACTCAAATTACATTCCAGTCAAAAGTTCAAGAGAGAGTCACATGGGTATGAAGGTAAGTGTATGCAGGATTCCAAATAGTGAATAACACCCACAGTGCTAATATCAAGCATGGGAGACTTATTTATCAAGAAGAAAAATACCCCCCCCCCCTAAAAAAAAGAGGTCATAATCTCCCTGACAAGGGTATTATAACATTAGTGTGGTCCTCCTAAATCTACCCCCCCCCCCTCTCTGACATTTTTAAAGGCCATGATTCAAGACATTTGCATAAAACTGAAAGATCAAATTGATTTGTTGAAGGCAATCTAAAATAACATATATAAGATCACTGAAACCACTTACACTAACAACATAACCTTGACAAATAAGAACTATCAAATAATAATACTACTAATAATAGGTAATTGTATAGCGCTCATGTCTGTCAGACTTGACACTCCTGGTGCTCCACATTATACTTGCCTCATTGCCTGTTGAGCAGACACCGACCACTGGTCGACGGTAACACTTGATCTTTGTGATTCCCACTGAGGCTAGGAGACCCAGCTCTGGTGGACTGAGTTTACTTCCAGGGCCGACCAGCATGGTCCCTTCCTGCAGGTCACTCCCAATAGGCCTAGAGTATTGAGAAACCATAGATCTCTATATCATGGATTCATAACTGGTATTTGTAGATGTAGCTACTTATGCCATATTGCTACTCCAATGATTCATACTAATAGCCTCTTATGAATGTCATTTCCGAAAGGCCTAGAATGCAGGGAAACCATTGATCTTGATAACATGGATAGTTTACACTGTTTTGTGTGGCTGTTGCCATTCTTATGATAAGGGGATCAATTCTGTACCAATTAATGATATGTAATAGCATGTAACCTTGATTTGGGGTAGAGTATAGGAAAGATGAATACATACGGGGTATATATTGCACATCAGAAAAAGTGATGGTCATAAAGTTATGGCGTAGTTTTGGATATGTCAATAATACCTACACTAGAGCACACCCCATCACGACTATGATCTGGCACATTAATTCTACACAGGGACGTCTAGATGGATAGTTGTAGCCATAGCGTATTGAGAGATACAGTTGTGACACATTTACATGTATGCGATCAAGGTCAATTCATGGAGCTCCAAGTAGCTCCCCCCACAGACATTCTCTATGGGAGGGAACTATTTGGGGCTCTTTGAATCGACCTTTGATCATGTACGTGAGCACGTGTCACAACTATGCCTCTCAATATGCTATGGTTGTACCTACCTGATGTCTTGGCCTGTTGTAGGGGTAGACAGGATTTTGATAGAAACCTCCCTTCGACCCTGAGAATGATAGACAGAGCAGAAAGCGCAATAGATGAGTGAATTATAAGGAACAAGATATATTCTAGGAATTTTTCCATTCTTTTATCTGAAACAATAGCACACAGGCTACAGGTACATGTAGATTTTATTTAATGTTTACAGACACAGACTCCCCCCCCCCCCCCTTCCCTCTCCTCCCTCCTTCCAAATGGAAATTAAAGCCCCTGTTGCATTTTAAAATTTGTAGGCATGAAGAGAAAACATGAGAGCCCATCTGCAACAGACCCCAGACAGTCTTGAACCTAGATTTATATAGACATTTTTTCCAGATTTAATTGTAATACTATAAATTGTTTCCTAAACTATGATTCTAAGAAAATACAGACTTTAAAAGAAGAAAATTACCATGGCAACAACAAATTTGTTTCCGGTCCATATACTTACATCATCAGCTTCTTCTACCAGTTCCGTGTCTTCCACCTGCACCACAGCGTCTGCACCCTTGGGGATCGGAGCACCGGTAGTGATCCTGATCACATGACCTGGGATGAGCTCTAGGTCAGGTGCATCACCAGCGATGGCATCACTCATCACCTGACGTACACCAGGACCGTCAGAAGCTAAGACGAAACATTGGATTCATTACAGAGTGAGATGATAGAAAGAGGTCAAGTTGAAAATGTACCCTTTTTTCATTCTATCACAAAGTTCTTAAATGTTAAAGGAGCAAAAGTAAACACAGACCTGAATTTGTAAATTAAGATGGATCTTCATATCACTGCTATTATACGTTTTACAAGCCAATTGTCACTTATCATGATAGAAGGCTCAATATATCTACAAACATCTACAAATCGACAAACACCTACATCCACATCTACAAACATCAACATCTACACACATTGATATCAACATTTACAAATGGATAGAAATTATATTGTGATCACTTTTATTTTAGAAGTAGAACAAATATTGAAATTCATTAATCATAATCAAATTAAAATATGGAGGTATGTCAAAATAAGCAAATCTTAGGATGAAATAAATACAATGTTCATCCATATATTTGCTAATATGCAATACACATTCATGAGGAATTCATGTTGTAGTAGCATTCTCACCTAGAACAGCATAGCCGTCTTTGATCGAGTTCCTAAATGGAGGCAGTGATATGGGAGCCTTGATCTCCTCAGCTACGATTCTAGCCAAAGCATCTATGTGAGAAAATGATTGATTGATTTATTGCATTCATCAAGTATGAGTACATTTACATAATGGAAAACTTATAAGAGATGAAAGCAATATATATGAAATGAAAGCCGATTATTAGCTCAGTTCAATGGAGTGCTAAAATCATGCAATTGTTTATTTCCTATAATAATTATACAATCTTCAGAACAGTGAAGACAGGCAGCATCATGACTAATAATGCAGGTATATTAATCATGTTTCTTTTTCTAAAATAAATGTAAATAGTAAATGGCAACAGTATATTAAGTGTCACCATCAGTGATTTTTAGGAAATTATACTTGAATTTCAAAGTAGGACAAATCAAAATGTCTATCCTTGAAGTCATACTATGTAAAGGGTATTCAAAAATATGATTCATTCATGAATACTAGTACTGGTATAGTGTACCACATGCTCCCATTGAATCTCCCTACATCTCTTTCCCTCCCTCACATTCAAAGTTTTTTTTTCCTTTCATTCTGTTCCTTGTTTCAATATCTGTCACTTCTGTCTTGTACCTTTCTCTCAAACTCTCACTTTCTTCTCACTGCAAGTCTTAATATTTTTATTAATTTTCCAGTTGCTTTCTTCACCCCTGCCCCAAACATTCTCTTACTTTTCTCTATATCTCTGTCTGTCTCTCTCTCCGTCTCCTTCGCTCTGTCTCTCTGTTACTCTCTCTCTCTCTCTCTACACTTACCATTAATATCCACAACTTCTGGTTGCAGTACTGGGGTGTGATCCATGACAATCTTGAGAGCATCCTTCAAAGGGATGACGGGGTAGATGGAATCTCTAGGACGCCTGGCAACCTTCTCAACATCATGGTGACCTGATGACATCAAGAAATTTTGAAAATGCTTTGGTTTAAAAAATTAACCCTTTCACTCCATGCAGTACGCGGATTAAATCTCTTTAAAATATCTAATGTTTTATGGAGAAAGGGATGCTTGCCTTGCTTATTGAATATGAAATTAAGAACAGATTCATGCCAATGGTGTTGGCATCAAGATGAACAATGACTCCAAAAGCGCAATGATTGAACAAATATTTCACAAATTTAATTCATGACTTCATAATGGTCTCATTTTTGTCCCGCCTTTTAGGGAGTATTTCAAAGGGGAGCCACACTAACCAGACCCTGTATGTCTTGCTCTATTGTATTCCGTATTCTGGCTCAGATCTGCTTCCAAAAAATGCTGCAATATTATAGGTCTTGCAAAATATAATGAAATGAAACTTCCCCCCAAATAAACACGAATTCTACATTGTGGTGCTTCAAAGTCTTCATGTATTTGATATTTCTGAGCTGTTGAATTATATTAGCCTTGGGTCATGTAATGTTTTGGGTAACAAAAGTCCGTTAGAATAATTAGACAAGTTATCAGACAATAGTTTTGAAAAATTAAAATTAAACATCTTGACCCATCTCTAAAGAGGTGGAAGTGGTTGCTTCAAGAAATGCTATTCCAAAATTGAGTTCATTACCTAACTTCTCCAAAATCCAATGCATGAAAGTATTTGATTCAAGAGAAAATTTGTTATTAGATTATTTTTCATGGATATTTCGGATCCTCTTTAGACAGAAAGAGTAATCTCCAGAAATTGATGTTCAAATTTTTGGATAAATAGAACTTTGTGTACGGGACTATTATTATTGAGACAGAAAATGGACAAATAAAACATAAATCAAACTTACGGATCTTCTGACAATTGTGATGTCCATGACTGACGGTTGGTAAATTCTAAAGGAAAGAAAAGATAATTTAACCAAGAATATAGTGACTTGTAAGTCATATTCAACAATGTTGCTAAATATAAAATCTTGAAGTTAGGAGCCAACGCGATTTGTGTCCCCCTCCCAATAGACACAAACAGAAAATTAATCAATTAATAAATAAATATGGTAAATCAGTTGCGGCAAGTGTAATGTCTGTTAGTTAAATTGATATTTCTGATCAAAGAGATCATGAGTTGGTATATATATTTTTATAATACATTGAGCTTCAAGTGAAAAAGACCTTTGGTGGATGGGAGGGAGGGAGGGGGCAGGGGGGGGGGTATGAGGAGGTGGGGGCATAGAGGATGTGCTGCCCTCTCTCCCTTCGTCAAGAGAAAAGGATGTTTGCATACCGTATTTCTAAGATTTGATATTCTCAGCTTATTACAGACCTATAGTTCAAGAACACTCGCATGAAAGAGTACCTGAATGAATTTTACACTATTATTTCAAAGTTTTAAAAAAATGTTTCTGATAGGATTCACATGAAAAGAAAATGTCTTAAAATTAATCTGAATTGTTTATCATCACTGTGCTGGAAATGGCTTGTCAGGACAAGAAAAATATAAACAAAGATTTTTGATTTACATTCACATGCCACTCTAATTCACACATACAAGGCCGTTTGTTATGATGTACGTTTTAATTTGTGTTTGCTGAAGGTATGTTAGAATCTGATTATATATGAATTTCATACATTTCATTTCCAGAAACAAAGGATTATTTTTGAGAAAAAAAGTAAATATGTATTGAGATCTTACAATATTAAATACTCCTTACTAGCATGCACGTGCAGTGTGATTTACAAATGCATTTATACAACAAAAATGACTGACAATACATAAAATTGCAAAAGTGTATATTTTATTAATAGAATATTTCATTGACATTCAAGAAATCAGAAATTCATGCAAAAATAAACTCTACAGGGATTATAGATCTAAGAGGGGTTTATGACATTCATTCCCACTTTAATTGAATTAAATTAAATGTGGCAGTATATCAATCAAATTTGTAATAGTCAGTAATTATTAAAAGTGTGCACAATTAGGATAAGTTCTCATATGAAAGTAATAATAATATTGGATATTGTATAGCCATCATATCCACCACAAAAGGTGCTCAAGGCATTACCCTGGCTATACTTAGGCTACCAGTTTTGGTGCTCACACCATTCTAAGAATTCCTTCCTACCGGTCCTGATTAAACACCCATGGGTGGAGTTGTGGAGAGTGGCAAATGCAGAATAACGTTTGGCTAAAGGGCATTATACAACTCACTCTCTGATCCTAATCAAATGATTGGTCATGCGCGGTCATGTGCGATTCATTTACTGAGACTGTTCCACGTTTTTCCATGAAAAAGCGTGCAATAGTTTCCATACTATCACACGTTTTTTTTACTGCATGTACATGATGCGCAGTAGTGCGCGTAGAGGTAAGAGCGCTTAATACAGTGTGTGCATGGGCCTATTCTTGAACAGATTTATTTGTCAGCCATACTGTCACAAAACAATCATGAATAATTTTTGTTGACATAACAATAACAAGGATCTAGGAGTTTCGTTGTATAAAAAAATGATGCATGTTTTCATTCGTTCATTATACGATCTATCCGCCCTCGTTGATGGTGTGTGTATCTATCGCACTCAGCCTAACAGCTTTGTGCGATAGATACACACAGCCTCAACTCGAGTGCAGACAGATCATAGAATGAACTCAAGCGCATGCATCATTTGTATACTAGCGCTACCCTGGGGTTCGAACCCACGACCTTTAATCTCCAGTCAGAAGCTTAGACTACTTGACTATGACACCTGCATATAACATGGTCATCATTTTTAATCTAAATGTAATCAAAACAATATTTTGTTTCACTTTTTTTTTAATTGCTTCATCTTGATTGGAAAGAGTATAAAAATGTTAAACATTTTGTAGATGTTAGAAATTTGGAATACAATTTGCTGTTGATAATTGGCTGTCATTCCATTCATGTACATGTAATAGGAAGATTGATTTCAATAACATTATTTTGTTCACTGATTTACAAGCGACTTCACAATGATTACAGATATCTCAGTTCTTTCTTTTATTTGAGATGATTTGTATCACATTGTTTCCTGATCATAATCTTGGCAGAATGTAAGGATGGCCTCAATAGTGAACTGTACATTTTTAAAAATTCACGACTGCATGAAACTTTCGGGGATTGCTAAGAATTACTTTTTTTGTAGCAAGAAACTTTTGGAAATTGTAAAAATTTAGTGTTATGACAGTTGTGATTCAGTTGCTTCACAACATGAAACACTTTCACCAATCTAAACCACCACCTGTGAACTTCAAAAACATGTTACACATTTAAATGATAATTTCTGATTTTACAGCAGCTCAATATCACAACACACTTCACTTCGCATGATATCCTAGGAACCATATCATTCCTAGGAAGGCAATTTGAGCAAAAGTTTCTATTATATTGATGGTAGAAGTGTAACTGTTCACTGCATGTCGGGTTACGACCAGAAACTGTTCATTTATATACCCTGTATGTATTTATAATGTAATGTGTAATCTTATAACCAATTGTAATCTATTGTCTGAGCAAATCAAATCAGCCAGTTGGCTTGTCAGTAGATCAAAAGCACTTGCAAAAAAAAGTAAAAAATAAAATAGGAGAATGAGGTTTTTAAGAAGGCCGATGTCATGATTCAGCCTCATCATCTATCTCTTCCTCCTCCTCCTCTTCCTCCTGAACATGGCTCCTTCTCTTTGTCTTAAGGTGTCTGCTGTTATACAACAAATGAGTCAATCTCCTCTTTGTGGGAGCTATCCCTTTAAGTTCGGGGTCCTCCATCAGTTTCTGGTGGATCTCATCCAAACTATCTCCCTTCTGGCAGTGAGACACGATCAAGTCCGTAACGTCCACACCGTGACGTAGCTTATCCTTGGGCGGAGGGGTCCAGATGACCGCGTCCTTGGGGTCAACGTGCTGTCCAGTGATGGTCACTACCCAGTGGTCAAGGTCTCCAAGGTAGAGTTTGAGGTTGACCAGGACGGAGCAGTTGTGACGGTCTTGTTTGTGGGAAACTCCTGGGCAACCTGGAGGTAAGCAAAATCAAAGCGGAAATGTGTTTGCATGGTGGGCATGTGGGGAAAAGAAAAATGGCTCCTTATGGGAAATGACTCAAACTCTAAATAAGATATACATTTTCTAATCATCACATTGAATTAAGCCTTTTATGAGGTCAAATGCATCTGTCCTGCTTCTATTTTTTATAACTCAGTTCTATATTACAACTCACTATTAAACTCAGAACCTTTTCACACTAGCATGGATATTAAGTTTTGGAATAATATTTTTGCAACAGTATTCCTTATTCCATCCAAAACTTTAAAAGATAAAGATCAGTTCTGGTCATGCGATTGCATTGTCAAAGAAACATTGTGGAATCGATCAGAAAAGGTTGATCATCTAGCGTATAAGTATTGGTGTGTACTGCAAGGTTCTGAAATCATCAAAATGATAAGAAATTTGGCCCAGTCTTGGTAAAGTTACAAGCACCGTACACAGAAATATGTATATGGGACTACGCACGCATGCGCAACACGTGTGTTATATCTATCACATCTATCACATAAACTAATTTACCAAATATATCAATTAGTAGGCGGTTTCCCGGCAAATTTTTTATCATCATGTATTAGTCAAAACATATTCTTTCACATGATTGGTAATAACAGCTTCCATTTCATTTTTTTGAAATTGGGGCATTTCCAATACTGGTCTTTACCTTTAATATGAACATTTTCATAATACTCAATTTGGCATGCTAGACAATCTTTACAATTAATGCAAGATTATAAATTCTATCCTTTAAAAAATAAAATGGTAGGAAGTTCTCACCTTCCACACATGCACCGTATCCGCCACACTTTCTGTGGCACTTCCCATGTCCAGGACACCACAGGTACCATGCTACCACGTACTCGTCCCTCCGCTTATTCTTCCTGATCAGTTCTTGTTCCTTCCTCCCTTTATCAGTGGGTGAAAACAAATCATCGACCCTGTTCCTCTCCTGCACCTGCTCTCCTCGCTTCCAGATCCCCGTATCAACCTCCTGGTCCCCTCTTTGTCGCGTCACAAGGTGGCGCTTCACGTTGCGCTTGCCGCGTGAAAGGGTGATGTCCGTCAACAGTGCACACGTCCTCAAGAAGGTGTTCAGGGGCTTACCAGCTTGGATTTTATGAACCATTGCTTCAGGCTTGGTCTTCTTGGAAGTGGCCTTCTTAGCTGGCTTCTTCTGCTTTGGGGCTTTGCCAAAGGGCCGCGAAAGAACAATGACCCTCCGTTGTTTTTTTTGGTGATTCCCTGTTACCCTCGGTATCCTCAGGATCGAACTGAAAGACTCCCAGGTCTGGTTCACGAGAGCGTGTCTCGGATGCGTACAATGGTTTACGCACAACATCACCTCTAATGGCACTCATATCAATAGTGGTGATTGGAGACAAATGCCTAGTTCTTGTGAAGGATGCATTCTCTTCACTGCTTTTGTTTTGCTCATCATCATCATCACCATCATCTTTATTCTCCAACAAAGACCATCCCTCGTCACCACTCTCTTCATCACTGTCATCCACCCTCTCAATTGTCCTCTTAATAGGTGACCCAGATGTTCTTCGGATGATCATCACTCTAGGTTTTGTGTAAGGTGTAGGGGATTTCCCTTGCTCGCTGTTGACATCCTCCTCACTCTCAGGGTTACTCTCATCGTTAACACGACTTTCAGGACTTTCGACATCATCATCGTCTTCGTCGTCCTTGTCATCGATGTGCTTCAGGCTGCTCATGATGACGTCCATATTGACAGGGTTTGTCATGCTCGATGGTGACACTGCCTCCATTTCACTATCCTCCACCTCCTCATCCTCCACATCATCCTTCCCTTCCTCCATCTCTTCCTCCACCTCTCTCTCAATTTCTTTTTTCTCTGCATCCAGTCCATCACTGACGGGACTTGATTCGAGTCTCGGGCTTGCATTGCCCTGGTGTGCATGATCCGCCGGAGATCTACCTCTCTCTGGTGATGAGTGATGGTCTTCAAGGTTATCCTGATCATGCCATGTCTCTGCCGACACCACAGCCTCACTTTCATCACTGGGTAAAGGGCTGGTTGTTCTTGGCCGTTTGTGCTTCCTCTTTTTCTTCTTCTTCTTCTTCTTCTTCAATCTGTGAGCAGCCTGAACATACACATAAAGAAAGTTTCCTTGAAAGTTCTTTGTTGGAAATGGAACTCTCCACGCATTTCTTCCACATCTTTTTGCCACTTCTAGCCTGATGAGAATCCACAGTTTGTCTAAGAACCAGTGTAATTTTGTTGTTCCATAAGAGATTACGAGGATGAAGATATTATGTATGATGTGCCAAAATGGATGTATTTATTAGTCACACAATGGCTAAGTAAGGTATCATATAAATGAATTTCAAATATGAATGAATTTAAGACACATTTCATGTCTTCTGAGAATTTTTATTTGTTTACGCTTTAGGGTTTTCTTTTTCGTCTACAAAGATACAAAGCAAGTTATGTAAATGACACTATGCCTGGACATCCTAATCTCACATCAACAGCAAAGAGAAAAATTGTCAAGAGAAAACAAGAAGAGCAGTTATTATACAATATGAATAGCTGATAAGCAGTGCAACAGCCATTCCTTTAATTCGCTCTTATTTTGATGACGTTTGATCACTTTGATGACATGTATTGCCTGAATATGATAATCAACCCCTTTAACAAGACGAGATTGCTAACTGAGGAATATCGAATCATGCGAATCAAGACGCCTAATAAACTAGGCAAATCTACAATCTCTAAATCAACAATGTCATATGCACTTGTTCCTAGATCATAATTTTTTTTCACTACCGATATATGTAGAGGATATTGAATGAATGCAAAGAGTGTAATTTGTTTACAAAAATGAAATAAATATGTGCTTTGCATTGACCACTCTGGCATTGACATTAATTATAATCTAATCATTATTAATCATCGTTTTAATTTGCAGTGCACAGACGATTGTTGCTGTTACTGACAATTAGATTATTAATATTTATATTATAATTAGTCGGTTTGACAGGACAGCATTATTTCCAACAAAAAGTCTGAAATCTGGGCTCATGCATCCCTCTTCAAAACCTTCAATATTAAACAGCACTAACACATGCTTTCCAAACTAAAATTAAAGTAAATCCACACATTAGTGTAAATTCATGCCTTGCAAGTTGAAAACAAAGATTATCATCCCTTTAAAGGGAGGTGGGGCTTCAGATGTTAAATTCAAACCAATACAAAATTCAAACAATTTTCAACTGTTATCCCTATACTATAGACCACTAGATTTCTTTCCTTTTGTTATGGTCTGATTCTGTTGTTATAGTTTGTTTGTTTTCTTCATTAATCCCTACCCCCATATGCTCTACAAATTATTACTATGTTTGTATGTATTATATTTTGTATGATGATTGAGAAGAAACAAACATGAAGCTGATTGTCCAAAGAGACAAAAATATGAAGTCAAGAAAATTATGGGCATTTTTCTATGATGATTGAAATAAACAATTTTGAAGTTTGTTTATATATCCCAAATCAGTCCCACCCCCCCCCCCCCCCCCATATGACTAGTTTCCCTCAAACACTCACTGAAACCATGTTGATAGGCTGTGGTCCTGGCAGTGGTCCTGGCTGTGGTCCTGACGCAGCCAGTTCTTTATGAGTCGCTTTGACGCAGGCTCGTTCTCCCTTCAACAGCTGAATAGCGTGGCTGAGAGAAGGCTGGACAAAGCCAAAGCACTCCTGCAAAACAACAATTTTTGAAAGATACAGGGTGACTGTGAGGCAAGATACTCGTGGCAACTAACCCCCCCCCCCCCCTCTCCTTGCCCCATCCCTAACAAAAATCTTATTCTGCCAAGGTAGAATGTATTTTCACATAAAATACTACTATGTCAAGCAATTCATACTATCTTATATTTCCCTACATGATATAAATCATCTTTGCATACATCAAAAATCTACCCAAGTTCTCTTTCATTTTGCAACAATAGTGTCCTCTCCTGTCTGCCTGGCTCTATCTCTACCCCACTCTCTCTCTCTCTCTTTTCAAAGGCTCTCCATGGCCCCACCCCCTCTGTCTTTGTTGTTGTTGTTGTTGTTGTAATCTTACCTTCTCCTTCCGTCTCTTCCTCCCACATTCTCTGTGTCTATCTATCCCTCCCTCCTTCCGTCCGTCCGTCCATCTCGCCCAATCCCACTTCCCCCTCTCTTTACCCTCTCTATTTCTTTCTTTCTTTCACCCTTCATCTTCTTACCTGTGAACCTTTGAGACTGCCTGGTAGATTAACAATCAGTGTCCTCTTCCTGATTCCACAAACAGACCTAACATTCATTATGGAATAAAATATACAATTTGTTAATCTGGGTATGAAAAAGAGCAGTCATAACAATTCTATATCTTTATTCATAGAATGAATAATAACATATTCAAATTTTACCAAAATGATCACTCTTGAAAATCTCTTATATGTCTTTAAATAGTAAAATACTATCTTTGGTCAAGGAGCACAATATCTGTATTACCTGTATTATTATCTTCATCTGTGTCAAGAGAAACAATTTGAGATGAAATGCCTCGTCCATGCCTATAGCTGAAATCTGAATATCTTGATACAGAAGCTAATGTCATACATTTTCTCAAGTGTCAGAAAAATAAGTTTGTAGATCTTGATTGGACTGTAAATGTTATTTATGCATTAAAATATGACATACAAAAACCCTCAATATGTCATTCCATATCATTAAAGCATGTCTGAACTAGCTTGGCCAGGTGGTATTATACCTCCCTGCAAGGTCACTGACAGGTGGTTATCTCATCAAATCAGCTCTCAATTACCATAAGAAAAAGGGGATCATGGGAAACCAATGGTAACCGATTAGGCATTGTTTGCTATATAGAGGGTGCAAGTAGCTGTAAGTAGCGCAGTGGGGCTTTAAGTGTGAAATAGGTACATGTAAGTCAGGATACCTTGATAAGACAGCTAATGGTGTTATCTTGAGGGATCCCATGAGCATGACCATCGCCAGGCCCGGAGCTTCTTTCTCCAATACTGACTTTGTGGCCTGTAGCAAAATAACAATGTCTCAATGGTAAACATACATACAAAAAGCAGAGATAAATGAGCAACTGTGAGGAAAGAGAGATTGATATAAAAAATTAAGAAATTTAATTTGTTCTAAAAATGTATTGGTCCTTTCTCATTGTTTCTCTTTTTGACTTGTGCAGACACATTGACTTTTGTCACAAGTATTGTACAAAGTCCAACATTTCATATTACAGAGTAAACATTACAAGTCATAATACATACCGGTAATGATAATCTGGGATTATAGAAATCAACTAGGCTTTAAAGAATTATTACCCACGTCATCAAATTCACTCACTGCCACACATAAAAATTAAAAAACACATGCAGGTATTCAAACCCAAACATCTTTGAAGTATGGGTATAATCTTTAATACCTTCGGCAATTCATTTACCTCAGCTGAATTGTTATTCATATTTATTACTATTGTTTGTTTTATCATGTAAAACAAAGGATTATGTTGTTTTTTATGGAGATGTGGAAATAAATCAATTCAATTCAAAATGAACTTCATTTTTTTGCATGTATAATTAAAAAACTAATCTATTTCCTTTTCCTGTTTTCCAATGATATCTGAAGCCCACACGCCTGGCAGGAATGCTCCCCGGGAGTGGAGATTTTGCACACAGTGTGAATCCAATGACCGGGGTAATAGTATATCTGTAAAGCGCTTAAAGACATTGGGTGGTATTCTCTTAAGTTAAGCCGGGACTAAGTCCAGACTAAACAAGAATTTTAGTTCGCACTTCTATGGAATGCTAGGTTTCATCTTCCTCCTTCAATATTCATGACAAAGATAATCTACCAAGGACTATGTTGAAATTTAGTGTATACTCATATTATCTTTTTCTTCCTATTTCAGAGCAAAATTAATTTTTTGGACACTTTTCATTGAAGGATTAAAATAATCTGTTCAGGGTAAACTAGTTCACAACAGGCACTCCATAAAAGTGTGAACTAACTAAGCACGCGCTAACTTAGTACGCGCTACCGGAATACCACCCAATTGTATTAAGCCCTATATAAGCGGAATATTATTATTATTATTATTATCACAAGTCTTACCTCTGGTGTGACATCCCTATCAGCGAAGCCTGTACCACCCGTGGTCAGAATGAGATCAAGCTCCTTCACATCACTCCATTCTAACAGAGTCTCCTGTCAAGGTTTTAATGGGATACACAAATCAAGAATGAAATGGAAGTAAATATTCTATAAATCAAATGTAGGACAAGAACCAACATTATGCTCTGTGACACAATGTAATGGGAACCCAAATATTAGGAGGTTGCTGGTTTTTACATGTTTGCAGAACAAGAGCATGCATGTACATGATGTGTATTTGAACTCATTAACAATATTAAGCTCTGTGATATATCAAAGTGTCAGCCAATGCTGCAAGTAAACATACATTGCTCTCCTTGCATATGTAGCCAGTCAATTGAGGATTATTTTGTGGATATGTAAACTAATGTAAAGACAGGTTTGTTATTATTAATTAGGCAAAATTGATATTATTCATTGACACATTGCATTTTGAGGACTATGTACTCCTTTCTTCACATGTCAAAGGCTTGACATGTCGTGTCTACAGCCCATCTTTTTTTAACATCCTGACGTTTCCTTCATTGTGCTATAGATTACGTATTTCAGGTTATGGGATTTCATTTTTCATCATCTTGTTTCTTGCATTCTATTCAATGAGGTTGTTACTTCAAAATGTGTGATTCTTACCTTGATATTTGAAATTTCATCTGGAACAATTCCTGTGGCTACAATTACACCATCAAGTCTGTAGAATATGATAGGAGTGACATTGCATAATAGTATTCATAAAATTTATTTAAAAAAAACATTTATTTACAAGTAAATATTACATTTGTAGTTGTAGCATATAATGAGAAAATTATTCATTTGTGTACTTCACTAATTTCACAACTCACTTTTCAATGGTAATTTTTTTTCTTTAAAAAGGATCAAACCGTACCATATCAATGATCATTATCATAATAAAAATGTAATCACCATTATCACACACTTAACTGCTGCCATACTACACAGTTTGAAGATTAAACATACATCAATACATCAATTGGAATTACACAGTGATGTGAAATTACAAATATAAATGTACCAGACATTACAGGTAATTCCATATAGATCTAATACACCTTTAAAAGTCTTTAAAATATCCATGAACTTTATAACTGCTTTAAGTATCAATATATTCTTGTATTGTGTGATATAAATAATCTCTTCTAAAATATTTATGTCACTCAATATCTAGTGCAATGTATTTTGCCTAATATGTTACCAACTGCATATTTGACTTCAGTATATCTGATAGTTACTATCAAGAATATAGCCATACCATAGTTTGGATCAGATAAAATATAAATCAAGGAAACAATGCTGTCTGTACCAACTTTTGTTCAGTTTTTATTACTATTATTAAGTTATGGGACAGAAAATAACCAAATACCCCAAATCTTCCTAAATAGCAAAGGAATAAATGGATCTACTGTTAATGTGTATATGATCAAAAATAAAAATTGGACCCTCATTGTTTCTAAATACAAAGCGAAAGCATTCACATACATGTAGTAACATTCAATTAGGCTACTTTTAATATGTCAAATCTAAAATGTCTTACCCATCCGTATCTTCAGCTAACTTCTTCAAGTTTGGACCACTTTTGTCCACAGCTTCCTTTCTTGAGCAAGTATCACTTACTGAAACAGACCAGATAAACCACTTTATTATTTATGTTTATAAATGTAAGACGTATATATCACAAAAAAGGAGAAACAAAGAAGGTTAAACAAATATGATTACAACTAGACTATAGACTGAAATGTAAAGAACAAATTAAATATTGATTTAGGAAATGAACAAGCTGTCATAAGTCAAAGTAAATATTTCTGTTTTAATTATTTTTTACAATAAGATGGAGTGTAATATTGCAGCCAAAGTGGATATATGAAGACGTTAAGAGTGAAGAATCTCCTAGCATAAGCATATCTCATTCATCTCTGCCCAGTCCGCCTAAACTGACCCATTCCTTCCACACACTATCCCATACGATGTACTTCAGTCTATGTATAGAGGCGGTCAGAGGAGCCAGATGTCATTTCAGCAGAACAATTGTTGATATCAGGGACTAAAGCTTTCGGTCTAGGTGTTTACTAACCAATAAGTATTTTATTTGTAAGTACCGGTAGACAAGTTTACACCATTTTGACATTTGTTGTCTGCACCATCAACTGCTGTCACTACATCCCAGTTTAGCTTTAAAAAGCTGTTATAGGGATTATCTAATCAAGATTCATGATTTAAAGTTTCAATGTGTAAAACGAACTAAACAATAGAAAATATAAGCAAGACTTTTTTTTATAATCTTTCATTTTTCTCTCTCTTTTCAAATTATTGCTCAAATTTGATGCAATTTCTAACATTAAACATTTCTATACATATTTCATTGAAATAAATAGATAGACGTTGCGAAACTCATTTAGTAATTGAAAATATTCTCCGAATAAACGAGTAATAGTCTAGACAAAAACAATTGAATTTCATTTCCACAAGCAGAGCCCACTTCACACAAATTATTGAGCAGGTGGGACTGAAGAGGAGAAAAGCGTTTAGTGCCTGCGAATATTGGTGCACTGCAGCTAATCTGCATCGTGAAAAGTAATGGAAATGTGGAAAATGAACTCACCTGTTAGAATACCAACTCTTATTGTGTTTCGTTTAGTTGACGCCATTTCTTTGACTTTATAATTCGGCAAGATATGCACCTTGCATACCGCATAAACACGACCTTTTATGGCGAGCACCCGTGCGCGAAGGACAGAATTATTTTTCAACACTACCTTGTGGACCGCGCTCTTTGGCACAGTCGTGCCTGGTGATGTGATTTTCCTAGGGCACTTTATCAGTATCCCCAAGGCCAAACCATTATTTGACACACCCCTTAAATTACCAGCACGATTCATGAATATCTAACCAAGGAGTTCCTTGATCTAACTTTATGAAGTGAAAATGAAAGTGACAGGGTATGGGTCGGCGCTCATGTGGGGGGAGCCGGGTGGGGGGGGGGGGGGTAAGGGGCAGGGGCAGTTACAAGTTCTGGAAGAAAAAAAAGGATTCTCTTTGGTAAACCTGATTTGGTTTAATGGGCCTTGGCCAAATTGGGCCGGGTCTATGATGAATATGTGTTTGAAGCAGCTGAGAAAATAATGAAATATAGTGAGCACTCTCTTAACTGACAATTAACAACAAAAACAAACAAGATTTATGATCGTGCTGGCCATTTTACCACCCAGTTGCCCATTCAATTCTTTAAAAGTAGAATCACACTTTTTGTTTGTCAGTAAATCCGCCCCCATTTAATTTGCCCACTCATGACCCCCCCCCCCCCCCCCCCATAACAAGAAATGAATACTGCTATATAATTCAAATCTCACACGTGCTGGAAGGCTGATTTACATAGATTTGCAGATTCACCAATTTCGGTCGTGATTAGCCCTGTGACAACTTTTTAACGCCGAAGTCGGTTTATAATTATATATGCATTGATCTTGAATTAATTGGAAACAGCTAGCCTACATACGTGGCGGCGTCACTATCATCTTCTGCCTAAAGCCTATCGCCCACACTGATTCTGTCAAATTCAAAATTGCCCTGAAGTCACTCCCCCCCCCCCCCAACCCCATCTACAAAACAATCCACCCTATCCGCACCTCCAGTTAAAACTCAGACGAGTATTGTGGAGGAACAACCAAGTCGGAACCAAGTACAAAGTACACTTATTGCCGTGATTATATAGGCTTAATAGCTATAGGTATATGAATATTATTCATAAACCAATGCGAGAGAGCAAAGTGAGCAAGCCTGTAGCAATAAAATAAGCCTCAGATTAAACTTTGTTTTTTCATCATTACTAGTATAAATGATGTTTCTTTTTCATTCTTCATCGTGACAAAAGCCAAGCCCGTTATTCTTTTTTTGCCCAGCAATTAAGGGGCCAAGAGTTACATGGCGTTCAAGTTAGGTGATACGCAAGTATATCAAGCCTCCCAAAATATAGCAACATTCCATGGTAAATTTATAAATTTGTCATTTTCAGAAGTTTTCTGCAACGAATTCGACATTTTATTGCAGTTTGTGTTAATTTAAAACTCATAGTTTTAAATTAACACTGATCCTAAATATATTGAGGAAAAGCTCAGTGAACAGCTGTCTACGTGTGTCGATTGGATGACTGATAATAAGCTTTCTCTACACTTGGGAAAAACAGAAAGCATTTTATTTTGTTCTAAAAGAAGTTCTAAAAAGTCATTTGAATTCAAAGTGACACACAATAATCAAGCAATCAAGAGAAAAGAGTCTGTGAAGTATTTAGGCATTGAGTTGGCTAGCGCAATTTCATTTTCATCTTTAGTAGAATCAGTTGTAAAAAAAGCAAATTCTCGTCTGAAATTTTTGTACAGATATCAAAGTTGTATGGATTTAAAAGCAAGACGTACACTCTGTTTTGCTCTTATTCAATGTTTATTTGACTATGCTAACCCTGCATGGTATAGTAACATAAACAAGTCAGATCAAAAGAAGTTGAAGATTATACAGAACAAAATGGTGAGATTTATCAACTGTTCTGGTCCAAGAACTCATGTTGGCTACAGCGAACTTTCTAAAGCTGGTTTTCTTGAAGTCGACCAAAGATCAAAACAACTCGTATTGCATCATGTGCATAAAATATATCATACTAGGTCGAATCATTATATTCGATCCAACTTCGATCTTGTTACTGACGTACATGATTATAATACAAGAAATAGACGATTCAACTTTAACTTACCAGAAAGAGTAGGTAGTATTGGAAATTCGTTTTATTACAATGCCATAAAACATTGGAATTCCCTTCCCAATGGTGTAAAAGAAATAGGAAACTATGATCATTTTAAGAGGAAATTAAAGGAATACCTAATACTTGACAGTCAGACAAGAGAAGTGAATGACATGTTATATGATTGAAATTTTTATTCTTCTGTCGGTTCATACTTTTTCATGTTGTATATACTTATGTTTTCGTACGTTATAGAAATTCTACAAATTCATCATTATTTTCCTCTTCTTCCTTCTCCTCTTTTTCTTCTTCTCCTTCTTCTTTTTCTTCTTGTACTAAATATCATTTCTATCATCAGTTTAATGTTGTTATTATTATTATTATCTTTAATAAGTAGTTCTTTTAATTTTCTTATCTGTCTGTAAATATTACTATCTTAACTTATTAATTTTATACATGTCTGTAAGGGACCCCACTGGAAATAAGCTCTCGAGCTTTCGTGGGTTATCCTGTTCAAGCTGACTTATTTTTGATCTGTTATTATTGTATATTGTTGTATGTTGGAAGCTTGTCGAATAAAAATCAATCAATCAATCAATAGCCTAAAAGTTAGGCCCACTGCGTTTGTCGGGGGGGGGGGGGGGGTAGTCTGTTGACACCTACTAGTGTTGAAATAAAATCTCATCATGTATAATATATTCAAAATGTCAGCCTCCATGGGAGTTTTACAGAATAGTTCACATCAACATGGCAGATATTTCTGATGATAACTTCCGACCAGAATTCAAACTTTATAAGCGCAAATCCCCTCCTCCTTGTCTGGAAGATGTACTTGATACCGATAGTGATGGACATAGGAAGATGGTATGTGTGTAAAATGGTCTTCGGATAATAATTTCTATCATTTCGGTCCCATCTGTTCATAAATATGTAGACCTCTAGGATCTAGTATTCTAGTCTAGTAAGACTTAGAGTCTTTACTTTACCTTTACCGCAAGGTAAAGGTATAAAGACTGCACTGTTATGGTGATAATTGATAAACTTAGAAAAATTAATGGCGATAATAATAATGATAATGATGATTGTGATGCGATTAGACTATGTCAACAATGGTGATGTTGAGGATATGGACAGGAGATGACGATGGGTGATGTTTGATGATGATGACAATGATAAAGATGAGAAAGGAAGGAAAATAGTGATGTCGTGATGATGTTGTCTGTTGATGATGTAATGATGGGTGTTGATGTCACTAAATGCTAATGCAGATGATCATGCAAATGTAATCGATGGTAATACTAATAGATGATTATGAAATTTGATTATTGATAGATAATAATGATATCAATAATCGTAAAAAGAGTTAAAGACTAACAATTGATTTTTGTTGTTTAAAACTATTGCTTTTATAGAATATAGTTTTACAATATAAATTAGACATCACTTGATCTTAGACCTTACAATATTTCATTGTAGTGATAATCATGGTTGATAATTAATATTAAGTTGACAAAATTATTTATTATATCATTTAGTTTAGTAAATATGATTACTACAATATTAATTACAGTAAAATAATTCAATTTATTTAATTCCAGCTGTACAAACTTGAGCTTTCAGAGCTAGCTCAGGAACAAAACTACCAGAAGAATATATCAGATGCAGCAAGCTTTGGCCTTAAAAATCCCAATGAATGGCAGTGCTATGGAGCCCATGGTTTTCCAGGTACATTGTTTTAATGTCTGATTTAATTTGTGGTTTTATATTTAATGATAAAGAAGGGTTCATCTTTAAATTTGCTGCTATCAGTTTATATTTCTGTAATTATTCCATGGCAAATCAGTTAAGATTTATTGGTTGGAGGGGTTGTTCTTATTCATTGAATTTTGTGTAAATGATCATGCCCTCAAATGTTTTAACTTCTGATAGCTTGTAAAGGCCTTCAACGAGGCTGCTGAAAGCAAGATTTTTGTCATTCAAAATGGGAAAGTATGTTTAATGTAATAATAATGTAAACCTGTTTGAATAATACACATTTATATGTTGACATGTACTCGCAATAATTTCAGCTTCTGAATATTTAATGAAAAACATTTAAGTTTGTTTTTCAAAGATACTTCTGCAAATTTTCATCTCCACTATATTTCCATTCTATCTCTCTCTCTGTTGTTGTTGTTATCATCCTAGTCATATTCATATTTTATATTCTCCCCAATCATCATTGTTGAGCATTCTTGTTTTTTTAAAGTATCGCTTGTAATAGTAAATTCGTTATTTTTTGTTTTGTTACGTTTTCTAAACTGATTTGTACCAAAATACTTTGTTTAGCTGTTTAAGGGTTAGGCTCGACTAGCACATGTGCTATTATCTGGCCCCTTTTACCAACGAATAGTTTCTCTTCTTGTATATTTAAAATCATTGTATGAAATGTTTTGCTGTTGGTAAATAAATCAAATCAAATCACATCAAATTTCTTTGTACACTCAGGATTTCAGTTCATCAGGAATCCCTTCCTACCAGGTGCTCAGAGATACTGGGTGAGACGCTGCCTAGCTGACTACCCATGTAAACCCAATGTCACCAACTTAGATACACAGTATCAGAAGGATCAGCTCACCAATCCTTGGCAGGCCAGCAGAAAGAATTTTAGGTATTGTCATCTTTATTAAATATTTTCCTCATTCTTCACCAATCATCCACTGATTTGTCTTATGTCTCTATTTTGATATCTCTGTTCTATATTGTCCCTGTTTTTCTTTTAGTTCCGTTATTCTATTAATAGTCTTTTTGCTCTCTATGTTTTATTTTGGTTTCATTTTTTATATGTGGAGATACATAACTAGATTGGGATTTGAATGTGTAGATGGAATGGTTGTTCAAGAGAATATTTATTATTCCGATGATTGTAATTTAAATTTAGTTCTTGGTAAAAAGTATCAATTGGCTGATGAAATAAAGGATGAATAGATAAATAATAATGTAAGTGCATCTATA